TTAAGGAAGTGAAGGAAAGTTCTAAATGTATTTTGATAATGATTTTGTGCTCTATAAATTTATTTAAAAATCAATGAATTTTATATTAAAATGGGTAAACTTCATTGCATATTTCTATAAAGCCATCAGTGAATCATAAATAAGCAGTCTTCTTCAACTTTGTTTATACATCTGAACCACATGAATAAATTTTAAAATATATTTTTGTATGGAGCCCTCTTCTTGAGATTCTGGTTTAATATACCTAAAATATAAGCTCAATAGCTTTTTAAGATTTCCAGCACAGGTATTCTGGTACATACCTGTAATACTGGCACTTGGCAGGCTGAGGCAGGAGGATTACTGAGAATCTGAGGCCAGTCTGGGCTTCAGAGTGAGTTCAAGGCCAATGTGAACTGCATAGCAAAACTTTATCTCAAAAAAACAAAACAAAGAGTTTTTAATTATGCTATGCATAATTTTGATGTGCACCCATGATTGAGAACCTTTGCAATAAGTGCCTGTCCTTTCTTAAAGTTGTATAATATGTTAATCTCACCATTTCAACTTTATATTAATCTGTTCCACAATTTAGTAAAATTTCATTGTGTCCCAATTACAGTATCTGGAAGTAAAACAGAAAAAAAATTGGGAAAGCCTCCTCTTTTTTATCATGAACTAATGAATGGGGAAAAGTACAACCTAAGAGTAGTAACAATGAAATAAATTTTATAATAGAAGTAAGTACAAAGTTTCAGTACAAATAAAACAATGATCAAGGGCCTGGATTTAGCTTGCCTTGCAAGCACGCGGTTGTGAGTTCGAGCCCGGGGACCAAAATAAATAAATAATAAAAGAAAAAAAATGACCAAGTCTGAGAAACAAAAGAAAAGGTCAAGAAAACTTAAAATATAGTGATTCTTAATCTTCAAAGATTAGGAAAGAAAGAAGTAGTGAAAAAATTACTCAAAGCATACAGTACTTGAGGAAAAGCAAATTATTCAATAGAACTAAAAATTTGGAGGAAGAATAAAAAGAATATCAAAAGAGCTATTGGGGGAAAATACAGTTACACAATTCAAAAATATTAAAATGTAATGATTTTCCTGTAATCATGTACTACAAATTCAGAATTAAATAATGATACAACAAATTTACCACTTATTGTTAGTTGAATATAGTTCCTGAACATAATTCTTTTTGGTTTAGCCTTTGAAACTACTTTACAAATAATTTAGTCTAGTTGGAAGACCAGTCAGGAAGGATTGAGAACAACAAGCTACTCAAACTTCCTTTAAATACAGAAGTATTAGTTCTTGGTGAGGAACCAACAGAGAACCAACCACCTGGCAAAATCTACATCTGTATGAGTTGCCAAAATATACTGTTCCAACAAGGAAATTCAAGGAAGAGCAAAATGCAAATTTCTCAAAGGAGAATAACACGAACAAAGACATACAAAACGTGTGGCAGGGGATTTGGAAAGCTGAATACTATAGGAACAGCATTGGAAATAAGGCTGAAAAATGTGTGTCTTTATATTCTAGGCTAAGGACTTAAATTCTTCTCTTTGCACAGGGATACTGTGACAGTTAATCCTTTTACATGAACTTGACAGGCTTGGGAGGCATCCGGGGGACATTGGAGCACAGTTCTGAGTCTGGGTAGTCGTGGAGGGTGACTTCGGAATCTCTATGTGGTCATTCAGCACCTTCCTGTTTCGCTCTGTCCCCTTGATGTGCTTTCCAGCTCCTACAAACTCAGTGTCTTTGCTCAGTCATGCCTTTCTACCATGATGTTTCTGCCTTGGAGTCAGCTAATCATGGACTGAATCGCTTGAAGCCATGAACCAAATTAAATCTTTCCTCCCTTAAATTGAAGGAAAGAATAGCAACCCATTCTTTGCTTATTAAATTAGTACAAAGTTTTAAAAGCAATGACATTCAGACTCAGTGAGAATAAAGAACCCCCTCACACTCTGCTCTTTTGAGTATGAGTTGCTGCAAGTTGGAGAAAATGACTTAGAAATGTGTATTAAAATGTAAAATATGCATAATTTTGAACTAACAATAACCACTTTGGAAATTCTCTCTTGTTTTAATTAGAAATATGTGTATATGAGATAAATGTGTGAAGATGCTTGCTACAACATTGTTTGTCACAGTAAAACACTAGGGAAACTAATGGATAGTAAATAAAATACTATCAACTGTTTTAAAAAGTATGAATTAGATGTTAATGTTAGTACTGGAGAGATGTCTTTTAAGGAATAATAAAAAGTTAGATTCAATCCCCAGCACCAAAATTTAAAAAAAAGGTAGAGAATAATATTCAGAACATAGCCCTTCTGTAACACAAAATAACAATAAGAAAAAAAATCATTCATAAACTTGACACATTTAATACCCATTACTTTAAACAAGTGGTAACACTAAAAGTGATTTAAAGGGGAATTTAAGTCTCTGTATTCTATATGACTCCCCTCAGAAATCATTCCACACAAACATAAAAGAAGCAGCAAGAGTTTCTTTTATTTCTTATCCCCACACCCCACCAATTCACAATGCCTTAACGTTCATACATGAAAACTCTGAAGTTGTCACAGTTTCAAGAAAGGAAGTTAAAAGTACTGTTCATTTAATAAAAGTTCTAGAAAGTGTTCTTCAATTAAACTTTTTCAAATTTTTAAAAGTTCTCTTTACTACTTGGAACCTAAGATAAAATTCTAGAATAGTTTAATTATTTAAGCATGCAGATTTGGAAGGTTTTATTCAGAAAAGAAACTAGTATAATTACAAAAATATCTTTTCATCAGTTTTCTAGTTTATATTCCTTTACTGTTTTCTGGTAGTTTTGTCTCAAAACTCTTCCTGAAGCCTACATGGACTTTGTCAGCTCTGTCAGGACTGTGACCCTTTCACTAAGTACATCTTCAAATTACTCTCTAGACGCTGATTTCTTTTTACCTCTTCTCTTCATAGCTTATCTTCTAACCTTGGTCTCCACTTTCACATTCCAGTTTTTATAGATTCTGGCCACAAATATAATGGCAAACGGGAGCTTTTTTCAGTTTCCCAGGGGTTAGGAAAAATTTGCCAAACTGTTGGTCTTTCATTCCCGTGACCATTTTTCCTCATACCCCAAAATACCTACCATGATTCCTGTGAAAGTATAGGTAACTTAGAATTCAAATCTAACATGATGGAAAGTTTACACATAACAGTAGCTTCTATATACTTCCTTTCTATCAATATGTACCATCATGTGTGCTTAGGTGACAACATTCCCACAAGTGAAAGTTTCCAGAAGGCATGAAACATGTCTTTTATTTCATTATGTCCAGGGTCTAGGAGAGTGTTTCATACAAAAAGTGTTCATGATTTTCCTTGGATAAATGAAGGTGAAAATAATTGGATTGTTTTTAAATCAAAGAATTTATAAAGTTATTAACCTTGCAAATCCTAGTTTTTCTGATGTGATACCAACTCAGAAACTGTGATGATAATCAGATAAGGTAATTTTAAGTGAAAACAATTTAATTGCCAAGTATTATGGCAGTGAAGACTCCCTCCATATTTTTGCTGAAACAGGCCAGCTCTTTTTAAAAAATGAGAAAACATTATTTATTAAAAGTCTCACAAGTTCACTATGGGATAGAACCAGGACCTCAGAAACATAAATTTGAAGGTTCACACATTTGATTGCACAGTATTAAAATATGGTTCATGGTGAATTCACTTTAAGTTTATAGACTTTTACAAGTTTAGTTTGGAGCTGACTGTGTTTGTTTTCTCTTGTTCCCTCATGTTGTTTTTGTATCATTGTAATCAGACACTTGGGATACGTTTCCAGCAGACCTCAAAAACATTGAAAACCAAATATCTCCAAAGAATTTATATAAATAACAAATAGCTTAAATATTACATTAAAATGCATATCACATAATAATCTTGTTCTGCAATGTGCTTTAGTACAACATAAACGTCAAAAACGAGCCCTGTTTCATGTTTTCATTTAGTGCAAAAAGTCTGATTACCCCAGTGTTTGGTCTGTTGCACCTGCTGAAGCTACAGTATTGAATGTTGCAGAAGCATTTCAGTTCCCTTTTTTATTAAAAGTGCTCAAAATTGTTTTCATTTAACAATTAAAGACATTTTATATTTTTAAAATTGCATGTCATTACATGTATTGACTTAGTTTGTTTTTTTCTAACTCTAATGATTTCTAGTTTGTGCAAAGTTTTCTATCATGGATAGAAATAAGGAGAGTTGTGTATGCTAAGACCATTGAATGAGGCTGTGACTGGGTCTCTAAATTTACATAATGACCAGATCCTTCCTTCTCTTTGCTTTAGTTTATTTTTTCTAAATCTCAAGGAAGTAAGTGTCTAAGATCACTTCCTTCCCTTGCATCTTAATATATTATAATTCTATTGCTTTCCCATTGTAATCCTTCAAGTTAAAAAAAAAACACAGCTCTAATTCTGCCTTATTGTGTTGACAATATATGAACAGTTCTTTAAAAACATTCACATTATGGTCGACACAAGCACAAAATTATTCAGTGATAGTTGACACCAGTCGATTCATTCAAATTAATACTCTCCGAGCTTCTACTTGATTCCGTTCAAACAAATGTTTAAAAGCCTTGGGGAAATCACATGCAAATGTAACGACCATTTACATGGTTCCCCTTCGTCAGCTTTACCTGTCCATCTAAAACCAAAGCCTTTGGAAGGATGCTGAGTGCTATGCTATTCTGGAATAAGAGCCCCCCGAACTTGGGAGGGGAAATGAGCCCCTGTTTTCAGCATCCAGTTTCTGAGCAAGGGATCTCCCACCACCTGCTGCTTCCTAGACTCCGCAACTCCTGCCCGGCTGAGCTTTCCCGGGAAGACAACCGAGAGCTGGGAGGGAGGCAGGAGGAGGAGGAGAAGGTGGGTGAGAAGGGAGGCGGGGAGCGGAGCGTGGCGGGCCGGGGAGGCGGGGCCGGCTGGGGGACGCCTGGATAAATGGGAGCGCTGGGTGCGGGGTGCGGAGAACTCAGCCTCGCAGGAGCCCGGCAGCACCGAGGACAGCGCCCGGCAGCGCCGCCCCGCTCTCCGTCCTGCTCCCCGGCGGGCGCCCCGCACCGACCGACCCACGCGCGCCCCTCACCGCGCACACGCCGCCTCGCTGTACGATGGCCGAATCCCACCTGCAGTCAGCCCTCATCACCGCCAAACAGTTCTTTGAGATCTGGCTTCATTTCGACTCCGACGGTGATTATCTTGTCTTTAACCGTTTCGAGACGCCCCTCTCTCCCTCCCCTCTTCTGGCCCTCTCCCGGACCCCCCACCCCACTGTCCCCCCATTCTGTTCTGTGCTGCCCCTTACTCTGTCTGACCCCATCTCCCCGACTGGCCGTCTCACCATCGACCTGAAAGTTTATATTGCTTTTTTGCAATCCGCGAACAGTACACTTGCGTCTTTCTAGGAATGGCAATGGTAAGACCGAGAGACAGGGATTGGGGAGCCCTGCTCCCCAATAGTTTCTGTGGCTGTGACCGTGCTCTTTTGCCCCCGGTGCTGCTAAAGTTTGACGCCCCGGGAGGGTAGCGCTGCTGTGGCTCTACTTCGCGGCTTAACCCAGGTGGAAGCTGGAGGGAGCTTCTGGGGTACCAGGAGGGGAGCACTCCTGGGAAGGAGCGAAGAAGAAACTCGGCAGGAGCCAGCTGACACCTGGCTGCCTCTTTGTCTTTGCAGGAAGTGGTTACCTGGAAGGAAAGGAGCTGCAGAACTTGATCCAGGAGCTCCTGCAGGCGCGAAAGAAGGCTGGATTGGTAGGTTCAAGTCCGTGAAGAGGGAGAGAGACCTCCAGCCCTAAAACATGAACATGCATGTGTTTGTATAACGAGCCAGCGGGGCCAAGGGCTTTTGCAGGGAATGTAAACGTTTATTAACCGAGATGGAATACTTTGCATCTTTCCAAGTTGCACAGTAAGGAAAAAGAGGGTGATGGAAGAAAGGAAGGGGGAAGGAAAAGAAGCAGAGAGAGAGAGAGAGAGAGAGAGAGAGAGAGAGAGAGAGAGAGAAAGAGAAAAGAGAGAGAGAAGAGAGAGAGAATATTTATATTTACATTCTCTCTGTTTTAAACCTTACCATCTTAAATCAGAGTTTTAAACATCACATAAAATAATGGATGATAGATACATTTGTGCTTGCTTTCCCCGGAAAGAGAGCAGAAAACCGTGGATGGGTAAACCGCTTAGCAGATCACCATTTCTGCCACTTTGATTTGGTTAGGTAATTTTTAACTTCTCTTTTACTGCCATGAGAAGTAAGGGGGTAGAAATACATTTCTGCCCCTTGGTGGTCAGGAAACAGATCTGCAGATTGTGAACCTCTTATTCCACTGTTAATTTTTGCTATGGTGCTGATGTAGTCAGGAAAATGAAAACGCAGCCCACCTTGACCCTTCTCACTTTCGATAGTAGGCCAATTTGTAACCTAATAATGAGCTAGAATTTGGCGAGAAAGGCTTTCATTTCTGTAGTAGGAGAAACCCCAGAAGTTAGAAAAGCAAGACATTTTAAGAATTCTATATACTGTAAAAATAAAAAGAAATATTCTGATGGAAAACAATTGACAATATTTTGAAAAATGGCTCTTTGTGGTTTACGCCATTAGGGATTCAACATATGACAATTCTTATTTAAGAAAAGATGTCAAATTGCAAATAAAATGTCAGTTTTCGAGCATTTGTGATGCACATGTAAAGGAAAATGAGTTAAGAGTTTTACCAGTGTTTTGGAGTTTATGTAAGTCTGTCTTTCACAAGGAAATGTTGGATTTGGGCTAAATATTAAAGGTCTTTGACTTTTTGGATTATGATAGGAAAGACTTCTTATGTCGTGAATTAAATGCTTATCATCTAGGTATATTATACAGCAGATGACCACTGCTAGTATTGAGAATATACATTTTTTACAAATTTATTTTTGTTCTATATACATTGAAGATTACTAGTACACATCTCTGTACAACATATTCAAAAGAATCCCAGAGGACTCCAGACTCTGATTGTATTAAAATGCAGTACAGAACTTATCAGTTGCAGAAATCACTGACCAAATTCATTTCAAACCAAATTATACTCTAGGGATTGTTTTAGCCTGACTTAATATAATATAAATCTAAAAGTGTAACAGAATAAAACCAAATAAAATCTCTTATATACACTCCATCTTCCTCCCTTTACGCATCACTGTGTGAACAAATTTATGCATTACTGTCTCTATAGTTCTATGGATCATTGGCTAATAAAACCAAAGAAATTATTTTCCTCATCAAAGATAATTATATATATTATATATACTTAAAATTCTGATTAGAAGTCTTATGCAAGTTGCTTTCAGCAACCAAATGATTATATTCTAATTTTTCCAGAAGTGATTTTACTATTAAATGTATTTTTATCTTGAGATTCAAATATTATGGGCTCTATACATTTTTTCAGATTTTTTTCTCTCCCATTTTTCTATTTGTATCTTTTTGAAAACAGTGTGTTCATATTAGAGTTTTAAAGAGTTTAGAGATTCACTATTTCTTCTACTGCCTACCCTGCAATTTTCAAATATATGAACTTCCAATTACTAGAGTAGAATTCTATACTCAACTTGCCCACAGGCTATACGATTGTGCTGAGTTACTCAGTACTCTCATACTTGAGTATTTCCTGGGTTATATGGATAGGCTTTGAACAGTTAAAAAATCTAAGTCAAAAAACCTAAGCCAAGATCTAGATTGAAAGATTTGTGTATCAGATACATGTTTCATAATGCTACCCAGCACATTACAATTGGCCTACTTTTATGTATTCTCTTTTTTGAAAATATGAAGATTAATCTTACAAACCAGACTTCTTTGCATTTCTTGCCATAGTGTAATACATTTTGTTACATCATATGCATAGTATAATACGTTTTGTTGTATTATATGCCAAACCAATGGCAACATTAGTAACGTGAAATTTCAAAAATTTCACCAAGTGAATGTAACATCAGTGAGTTACATCATCCCAATAAACTTCTGAAACCACTACCACTTTACACTAAACATAATGTTTTATCTTTAAATTTGAATTGGTTTTTATCAATCTTTGATAACTATGTGTTCAACTGCTTAAAAAAGTAGATTTTGATCCTACTGTCAGCTGGAAATTTCCAAAAAATAAATATCAAGTCTGTTAAACTAGTCATATTACACAATTTGAAGATTTAAGACTTACTGCTTTTTTTGGTTTACTTTAAGATATGCATAAAAAATAAAAGGACTTATAGTCCCACAGTTGGCATGGAATTGACACTTGTTTTCTAACAATTTTTCCTGTATCAAAATTTAATAAATGCAAATTGCAATCTGTTCACAGAATTCAAGACTATGGCATAATTATATTATTTTTTTGCTATTTATCACATTATTTCAACTAGAGATATCTATATTGATTGCAAAAGTATTTTATAAATACTACTATTAGTAATAGCCTCAAAGTAGGCTTTAAATTATAATAACCTACCTATCCCTTGAGCAAATATGTGGTACATAATTATCAATTTTAGTTATGATGAAAATTGAGACCTTAATTTACATTATCAAGGACATAGAATAGGATATTAGTGAGGGCTGACCTACTTTAAATAGGTTTCAGTTAATCCAACAGGGCTATTTTAAATAGGCTCTCTTTGAGACCCGAGAGTAAAAACTTAAACTTCCTGAATACCAGTTTTCAGATGACTGGTTTATAGTTCATAACTCTCTAATCTGTCAATATATAAGGAGATTATAAAAGTAGTATAATATTGAGAAAAGCAAGCCAAATGAGAAGATAGTGTTCACTTAGTCACCCCTAAACATGTTTATTATACTAAAATACATGGGGAAGAAAATATAATCCTGGAAAAAGTGGAAACAAGGCCACACTGGGAACCTGGTGAAGGCAAAGTCACAGGCATATCAGTGGTCTATTGCCTGGAAATATTGTGCTGGAAATATTTCTTGTTTAAAAAGTATATTACTCTTCAGTATTTACATTTTTGCTTGTCCAAACCAAAAATACATTTTACTGATTTTCATGAATAAACATTGTGTTGGAGTAAGAAAAATGCTATAGGACAGGACAGTGTGACAATATAATATATTCTTTAATGAAGAAAGTGATGTTTAACGTATATTAACAGATGTCATATTTAAATTCACTAATGGTAATAAACCAAATAACTTCCTATATTTTCATAATCTGAAAACTAATAGATGGGAAATGATCGTGGTTCATTCCAAAATATTAAGCATGATCACAAATCTTTCATTTGAAACTAATAAATACTACATATTACATTTTGACTAATTTCATGACAATAGCTCATCACACATAATTCTAAATGCTTTCAATTGTGGCTTCTCTCTGCAGTAATTTATTAACATCATGACAGGTATAACCGGGTATTTTTCTTACAAACTTCTTACCTGCTTTTGTATAATTTTAGGAGTTATCGCCTGAGATGAAAACTTTTGTGGATCAGTATGGGCAGAGAGAAGATGGCAAGATAGGAATTGTAGAGGTAAGTACTATACACTTTTCTGATTTACTAAATGAGATTCATTTTTGATGTTGTACCCAACTCAAACACAATAGGCAAGATTCATACAGATAATCATCTTGTATTCATATATATATATATTTCTGAACTCCATCATATATATAATAGAATTGAAAGGGATGCTAAGAGTTGACCAGATTTAGAGCCTGAATAGCATATTACAAAACCGAGACCCAGAGAAATGAAATGTTCAACATCTGGTCACGTATCTGTTTGCAGGCATCAGTTCAGTTAGAGAAACAAGTCACCAAGTTCTGGATGAATATCCATCACATTATACTATTTACTTTCCCTTCATTAAACTGCCCAAGTATCCAGTCCATTGGTGATTATTATTGTTTTTCAGTATAGACTTTTGTTTTGTAATTTAAAATTAAATATTTGCATCCCCTATTAAAATGTCTTAGCTAAATTCTTCATGCTGATTCTAAAGTCAATTTTAAATTGACATGTGCCCCTAGTAAAAACACAAGGACTTCCTTTAACTAAAGCTAGTGAATACTTTATGATCTGCTATAGATGCATATTTCCTTTGAGTCTCTGCAAAGTAAAACTGTGGATGTTAAATCTTACTTTTTGACAATGACTTTTCCTATTGAGGATAGTTTATTTTGTTTATTATTGAAGGAAGCAAAATTTTGATTATGCAACCAATATGAAGTCTCAGATTTGTAAAAGAGCTGTTTCTTCTCTTATTCTTACTTTTCCAAATTCTAGTGGTATTTCAGGTTCTATCTTTATCTCTGCAAACTATTAGAGAAACATAATGGAAAGTTTTGCCCAGAAAAATTAATAATGTGTTACTTTAGAATGTGCCAAATCACAAGCATAATTGTGTTTTTCATATAATGATCTCAGTATATTAAAATATAAAGTTTTGGCTTTCAACAACTTATATCTTTGATTCAGAAAACTAACCTGGTTTTAAATAATTGATATTATTAGGACACTTATGATATTGGTGCGAAATACACTTATTTTTAAACAGCTACCATGAATAGAGTTAAGGGAGGACATACTATTATTATCTTTGTAATTAAAATTTTTCCCTGGAGTATACATTTTCCCCTTTGCCTATATGTGACTCATTACTATATAAATAGATGATAGTAATGGGACTTACAGATTGAGATAGAAGCCAATTAATAGACATATTGAATCATTCAGAATAATAAAGTCATTAAAATGAACATAAATGATGTAAGGTAAATCCAATTATTCAAAACAGCTTGCAAATCAGACATCAGTGAAATTCTAGATTGGCTGCTTCACAATTTATACTTTCAGTTCCAGTAGGAAAGAGACTGCTATCCTGTGTTTAACATAGCTAACCCCTGAAGGACTTCTGCAGGTCCAGCTACTTATTTTGGTTCATTTCTTCAGTGATAGTAGGTTATGTAGTAAAAAAGCACAGATCATATTGCATGCTTTTTACACTTTTTAAACGGACAAAGTGGACGAACACATTTGAATTTAGGTTTTACTATGTATGATATAGTTTAATTTTGTATGACTTTTTTGAAGTTTAACATGAGTGAGAAGCTAGATGTCAACTCAGCAGATGACGTGGTGGAGGCTTAATAAAAGATGTTTATTTCATCACAAGTTTGATATGCTGGAGATAAGCTGTTACAGGGAAGATTTTCTGTGTGAGGAAAAATAAATATAGCTAACAAAAGAGGATAAAGAAGGTAATGTTGGCTGAAATGAAAAACTGAGGAACTTTTATAGAAAAAAGAATAAGAGTTTACATGTGTGTGACATGATATTATTCATAAAGTTTTTTCAAATAAGTTATCTCTTTTGATTCTCACAACAAAAAAATAAAGTAAGTCTAACTATAAAATGAAGGTCTATCCTATAATTGAGGAACTGTAAGTTTCAGCAGAATTTCTCTCAAGATCAAAGAATAAAAAACAAAACTATCACTGTTAGGACAAAAACGTGGTCCCCTAAATTAATTTGCCTACTTTTATAAACAATTAGAAAATCTACACATTTTCTCTATTAAAAGGAAAGATGTTTAAAGTTTCAGATATTTGGTTAGTTATGGGAAAGTTTTAAAGTTAGCCGGGTTAACTAGGGTCACAAAGACTGCAAATGCTTCCACATTCACAATGGAGTTACACCTTGATAAACCCATTTTAAATTAACAAGCATTATAAATAGAATACGCGTTAGTGCACCTGACCTACCGAACACCATTGTTCAGTAGCACAGTCCTCTGTAGACCTCTGGTGACTGCATGGCTCTTGGGGAGCCGTGGATCACTGTCACTGCCCAGTGTCACAAGAGAATATCATCCTACTGTATATTACTAGCCCAGGAAAAGACCAAAACTCAAACTTCAAGGTACAATTTCCATTTAATGTGTACTACTTTCACATCAACATAAAGTCAAAAAAATCTTAATTTGAACAACCCTAAGCCAGGGACCTTCTATATGGAGACGTTCTTTAGGCAAAGAATTTAAAACATGATTTGGAAAGCACTGCAGATTAGTTCAAGCAGAAAGAGTTTAAAGACAGAGAATTGAGACGGGTTAAGAATTGACTAAAGGTTTTAATGTTGTGGGACATGGAACTTTTTGCTAAATGGAACCCTTAAGAAGAACTAGCCAAAATTCCTCACTTTATGGATAAGGAGACTGAGATCCAGAAAGGTTGAATAATATGTTTGAGATCCCAGCAGAAAGGAGTGACATAACCTGTATGCAAACGTAGATTTGATTCTGATTTCAGAATATATATACATATAGTTATATATGTATATATACCAGATTACTAGTAAAAATGTAAGAGGAAAGGACCCAGGTTGCACACATCCACTGAGAGAACTGGAGAACGACAGAACATGGACAAGATTGCCACTGTAGTTCATATGCAAGTGATTCGACCTAGTGTGGTTAAGTAGGAGTTAAGAAAAAAGACCTGAAAAACCCATGGGAAAAAGAAATTGCAAGTTACAGTAACATGAAGAAATGAAGAAGCGGGATGTAGAGGGTGCCTGAATGTGCCCTTTGGTATCACTAGAAACTATTATATTAAATGAAGTTCATTTTTTAATCCAATGTGATGTACAATATTACTTGCTTAGAAATCTTACATATCAGGACACAAATTCTAGCCAGAAATAAGGGAACCCAAAACTCAAAGCTTTCCAAAAATTATTATCTCCCTCCTCACATTAAGCACCACATAATGTTAGGGTTCAAAGAGAAAGTAAGTTAGATTTGCCTGTACTGTGATTTGCTGTGCCTACATGATAGTTATACATTTGAAATCTAATCAAAGCAAACTAATGTCCATGCAGTAGTATGCTTCCCTTATGCAACTGGCTACATTGATTTAAAAGACCTGAAAATGTAATGATTAATTTTTTAAAATTCTAATGTAATTAAATGACTGACGTTTTTCCAATAATATTCATTTGTTATCTAGACACATACAAAAAGGAAAGTAATGTGCAGATATGATTTCTTCTGAGCTTAGTAATTCCATGCCTTTAGACTTAAAAATTCATACAAAATTCAGTAATAACAAGCAAAGTTCAGTAATAACAAGACTATTAATCTGAACTCAAAACAGGAGCACTGAAATTCTGAGATAATTTAACAAATACCATGGCAGTCAAAAATGTTCTAAATTCACGTAGACTAACAGCTCTATTGTAAAGAAGTTCAATTAAAATAATTAAACAGGAAGATTAAATGATTTACCAGAGAATAGAATTTTCTTCTCTAGGGCTTATGTGCAGTTCAGATATCTCTTTAGCTGGATGTCAATTTATAAGCTTTTCCTGGATCCCTTGGGCAATGTGTGGGAACCTACGATCCTCTCTACTCTGAGTGTTTCTATCTGTCCAGGTCAGTGCATCCACTGAAAAAATAGATTCAAAAGCTATTTTAATCCTAAAACTGTAACAATCCTCCCAGGGAAGCAGCCACTTCTCTAGATGTCTCTTTTTTTCTTCCACAGTGGAACTTGAGCATATGAGGTTAGCCAGGGTGGATGTAATTTTTCATTTGTCCACCTTAGAATTTAAGAAAATCACTGACAATATAATCCCATTTTAAAATTTTCTTTGCATAGAGCTTTCAACTATTTATTAGGGAAATGTTTTTGGTTGAAGATTTTAATGGAGAACGATAAAGATAAAGGTCAAAGATTTCAAAATTCAGGAAAGTCAGATTGTCTGATTTTTAACGTTACCTCTAGCTCAAGCTACAAGGTAAGTGAGAGAAGGCTATTTATGTTCTCTGAAATTCTATTTCCTTGGCTGTAAACAAAGGCAACCATTATCAACTTCAAATGATTTTTATGAGTATTGACATCAAATGAGATAATCCTTGGCAAACAAATTCCTGGCATACTATAAAAACTCAAATAAATGTTTTGTTGTTATTATTAAATATAAAAATAGCTTACTGGAAAATGTATACTATTCTATGTGCCAAGCCTTGTCTTCCCACATCTTACATAGTCAAATTTAAATAATTAAATTCAAATAGCTTTAAATTTATGAGAAGATTATTTGCCTTCCAAATTCCCTGGACTCAAGACTCATCAGCTAGGAAAAATGTTTCTCTAGTTCCCCAATGGAAAAAAGTGAATGATTGGCTTATAGGTTCTCAAGAAGGCAAACATACACCATGACTGTGGTTAAAAGTTAGGAATTACACTTCAAATGTATGTACTTAAAATATTTCTCCCTGCCCTTTATGTCTTACTCTTCTCACACCTCGTTCTCAGCTTTATCACTGTATCTCTCTCCTACTTTATATCAGTTTAAAAACAATTTTTTTGTTTAAATCATCTGTCTCCCTGGTAGTGGCTGCCAATCACTGGCCCCCAATATACTGGCCTAGCAATTAGTAGTCACCTGAGGCACAGTTAGGAATTTCACTCAACTTCAAATAAGGTAAGAGCTCCACATTATGTGTTATGAAAATAAGAGACATAGAGGGAGAAACTCTGTCAAGGTGCAGTTTCCTGGGAGCCTGATCTGTGTGGCAGCATGGTGCTTAGGAGGATTATTAGAATCACTTCCTCTGGAAGAGAGGGAAGAGAACAGGATATAGGCAGAGGACAGTGCTAACCTGTGACCCAGCTGACCTACAATGAGCTCTGAAGCTGGCTGACTTTTCAGAGATTTCCCTGGTTTTCAGTGAGAAGAGTGGACCTCTCTATTGCAGTGTAGTTTAGTCACAGGCTGCAGCCTCCCTGGAAACACAGATGTCTTCAACCCATGCAATTCCTCAAAAGGTCCTGACAACTGAGCCCTCGGCAACGTTCTCAGAATCTGAAGTGAGCTCTGGGTAGTATATCACAATGTGCACTCCAACGCTTACCCACAGCCCAGTAAGAATTATATACAGTGAAGCCTTGTTGCCACTTATGTACATTTTATGACTCTAGATAGTCAATTTCTTCATTCATTGCATGAATAAAATATGCACAGAAATTTATTCAGTTGCTGGGTAAATAAATAAGTAAAATGTAGGCTTTATCCTCAAGGAGATAAGCAAATAGAAAGAAAATTTGCCTCTTCATTCCTAACAGCAAGCAACCAATTCTCACAAGGGAAGATCTAAGGGATTCTGTTTGTGGCCACAGCTATGTGCTTTCCATTCACCTCCTTGATATTTTCTACTCTCTTGAAACCCATAAAATTTTGGGAGTTCGTAAAAGTGCAGGTAGGCAATTCAAGGATTAAGAAGTCACCAAACAATTTGGAACAATAGGACTTGGCATTTGTCTGGATAGCTGTAAGTGAAAATAAACTAGCTCTACTTAATGTCCTCTATAAAGGACCTTTAGCATGTTGGAGACATACCCTTAGGTATACAGCTAGAGACTTAACTATACTCAGATTGAAAATTTGAATATTGATTGATATGCATTGACAGTAGTAATAAAAGACAAAACGAGAACACCACACAGTGAAATACACCTTAAGATAGGATTTATTTTATGTTCATTACAGCTACATCCTACTCAAACAGGTTTATTGGTTTCCTTTAGTGGCTAGCATTCTTATAATAATATTTTACAATATTCATTTCTAATGTTTCTAATAGGATAGTGTATGTGTTGAATATAACAAAATAAAACTGAAACAATGAATATATTGCATATAGATATAATCGATATTTTTAATAATTAAAAGTAATACCAAAATAGCATAGGTAAAAGTATAAGTGCATTTTATACTAGACATGAAAATCAATTTGACATATTTGACATTCTAGAGACCCCATGACTCTGTGACAATTATATAAACTTTGATTTATGAAATAATGATTAAATTTTCTTAATTTTATATTTAATCTTCACTGGTTATTTGATTATATTTTTCTATTTTATATATTTGGAAGATTTGGGCAAGTATAATTTTTTAAGAAAAAAATAATCTTTTTGTTCAAGGAAATGTATTAATTATATAAATTCATATAATATAGAAAATTATAGTGATGACAGCAAAGTATTCACTCTCATTATGTTCAGTCATGATAAGGAGGATTTTTAATGAAGAGAAGTTATCCACCAATCCACAAACTTTTACTTCAGGCACTTACTTTTACTGGGTGATTAATCAGAAAGAATAATCAGAGGATGCAGATTGAAATAGATGGCCTGGGACAGTGGTGGCAAACCTATGGCATGTGGGCCGCAATGGGCATGCAAACATGCTCTTGCATGCAAGCCAAGTCACCCCAGAAGCCAACATTGGATATTCAGGTTTAATTGCAGTGCTGGCACTTAGTGATAAATAAGTAGATTCTGGATTGCAATATGAGTACTTGGTCTACAAAAAATTCACCACCACTGGCTTGGGAGAAGTCTACCAAAACTTAAAAAGCTGCATACCAATAACTAAAGAAACCCACCTTATTGAGAGGTTGTCAGAAGGACTAAAAGTTTAAGGCCAGCTTTGGCAACTTGTTGAGACTCTGCTTCAAAATAAAAAGTAAATAATTCTTGGAACGTAGCTCAGTGGTAGAGCTTGAAGTTACAAGGCCCTAGAGTGAATTCTTTATACCACTAAGTAAATAAAGGAAGGGAGAGTTGGTATTGACTATTTCTGTTTTTCTAGTGAACACATACATTCACCACAACCCTAAATAACATAGCCAGACATTCAGCACCAACTTTCAGCTCCACTGATCAATTTGTTCTTCAAAATGTCTGCCTCTCATTTACTTCCTCCCTCTTTGAGACATATAACTTTTCATTCTCTTCACCTTTTGATCCCTTTATTTACTGTATTATTCCTTCTTCCCTCCATACCTTTCAGAAGTCTTAAAAGAAGTTTTTTTACAACACTTTGAGGAAAGTATTATTACATCCTAGTGAAGCCTGCACAATACTTCAGGGGTATGATTGCTTCTTCCTTGCAGACATGTTCAGCCCAAAACTCCCCCTTCACCCTCTATCACCTCTTCTCCTTAGCTTTGGTGAAGACCTACTTTTGGGCTTGAGTTATATCGGGCTACAGTAATAATAAAAAACATTTACATCTACTTTCCTTTAGCAGCCCACTTACAAGGAGAGAAGGGGACTTTTTAAGGAAATGATGTTTTCAGTGAGTAGAAACATAGCCCATGTCCGGACTATTGTGTCATACATATAAGTCACCAGCAGATGTATTGTTTGCATTCCAAGGCTGAAGAAACAACCAGTTGATTTGTACCTTCAAGAAGCTTGTTGCTTACTTAATTTATTAATAATTATCAAATTAAAGTGATTTTCAAAGTCAACCAATCACCACGTTAAATCATTGAATCTTTGAACATTGAATCAAAAATTCAGGTTTTGAATTAAATTGTTTCTGAGGTGTAGAATTGTATAATTCAAGAATTCAAAGAAATCAAAGATCACAAAAGAGCCTTGAATTTAAGAAGAGACCTAGATATCTCTCTCTCTCTCTTTTTCTCTCTCTCTCTCTGTCTCTCTCTCTGTCTCTCTCTCTCTCTCTCTCTCTCTCTCTCTCTCTCACACACACACACACACACACACACACACACACACACACACACACATACAGTGTTAATATGAGGGTTTATAAATGAAAAGCTGATTATATTTTTTAAATTAATGATAATAATCTCCTATTTTTTGGTTATATTATCTTCTACTCACACTACTAGTCTTTACTTGAAAACAAGATGTTTTCTGACTGGATCGTACTAAACATCCCAAAAAATATATATGACCCTTTCCCTTATTCTTATCCCCATCTGTAAATCCTATAATCAAAAGTCTTAATTTAAGATGTTATTTGAAAATCTCAAAACAAGATAAATAATATATCACATAGGTATATGGAAAATGAAATTGCTTGCACATAAGGTAAAATGATAGTTTTAAAATTAAGTGCTAGGTTTTTTAATAGAACTAAAAGGATGAAATTTAGAAAGAAAGAAAAGGTATATCACCCTTTCCTATAATCTTGTGAAAATTTGAACATTTATAATGAACCTAAAGTTAATCTACACTGTAAGTTCTTGGTCTGAATTCTAGGGATGAGGGTCCATATCTGTATTTCAGGGAATTCCTCAGTTTCTGGAAAGTGAATTACAGCAAGTATAGGCTCATTTTTTAAACAGTGAAGATACTGTGATTCCAACAGAAGGTGATTTGAACCCAGGCCATTTAAGAGACATCGATTTTGCCTTCAACTCCTTATTTTAGCAATAAGGATATTGAGGTCCAGAAATGGCTGAGGGAGTTGCTGGGGCCCACAGTTCATTAGCAACTGAGCCAGAAATAGAACTCACGTCTGCTGTGAGGCCATCAATCCAACTCCCTCCTCCTCTGCATGCAATAGATAGATTATATTAGTCTTAAAATGGTATCTGAAGCTCTTTTCTCTTCCAAAAAAAGTATCAAAGTTATGAAATGAGTGCTAAGGGGAAATGTCATAAAGGCACACAGTGAAGATCGAAAATTAATCCAAGCCCTGGATTCCAGCAATGCATGTCTTTTTAGCAGAAAACAACAATTTGAGCACTAACTTTGTGATTACTGTTTAGTTTCCCACTGTTCATCAAGAATTGTCCTTTTGACTCTGTTTTTACTTATTTGCAGTTTTCTTTGGTTTATGTTCCCTTGCATCCCACAGTAGGCTTTGTCTCTGAACTGGGAATGCATTTTCTCTTTCCTTTTCTCTACATTCGTGTTTCTCAATTTTGTTTCACATAAAATTTGTGGCCCTTCGGTGTACCATTCTGTACACCCTGAAAGGAACAAGACCTCTCAGGCACAGGATGCAAGAAGTGTTTGAGCTACCTAGAAGAAGCTGCTTGTATGTGCAGTAGACAAAATTGGTCCTGTTGCCTCATCCCATCGAACACAGAGCAAAGCACTCGGGGGTCCAAGAGCATCAAAAGACACCGTGGTACCCCTGCAGAGCAAAATACCCAGAGAAGGGAATGTCAACTGGTGTCTTTTTCTCTCCTACTTTTCTGAGCAATAAAACTGCTCCATTCGTTGGAGCAAAGCTAAGCAGCAGCTGATGGCAGAGACCTGTTTTCAACCCCACAGTTTCGTTCTCTCCTTTTATATCTCTTCCAGTTGGCTCATGTATTACCCACAGAAGAAAATTTCCTGCTGCTCTTCCGATGCCAGCAACTGAAGTCCTGTGAAGAATTCATGAAGGTAGAAGAAATCTGTCCCTTTAGGAAACACTGCAGAAATCAGTACGGCTAGCTTTTTTAAATTCGGTTTTTCTTATCCTATATTTTTTACAGACATGGAGAAAATATGATACTGATCACAGTGGCTTCATAGAAACGGAAGAACTTAAGGTAAGCAAATAACAACTTACAATAAGATGTTTTCCTTTTCAATGCAACTATGAACTGCTCAGGGCTTCACAGTATTTTAAAATTTTTTCCACAAAAGAAACGAGTGTGGCGCAATGGCACATTTTCTCCCACTCTTTCACATCATTAATGAAATACCAGATCAAGACAAAAACTTTAAGTTCCTTCTTATAATTCTGTTCAGCAAGGTGAGAAATTAGCATTTGTGAAGTACATAATTTGTTGTAAAACAAATAGGTAGGTGATAGATAGAATTATGCACTGGCTAAATAAGTCATACTTTTCCACTGAAATTTGATTTTATAAACTAATGTATGTAATAAACTTCTTTTCCAAAAGGCAGACAAACTATGGGACACCTATTATATTCCAGCTAATTTACATACATTTTATTATTTAACTTTTCCTTGAGTTCAATAAAGTTATTATTACTTGAAGACAAAAGGCTAAATGAGCCACCAAAGGCCACATAGAAATGAGACTCAAGGCTGCAAAGTTTAAATTCAGATTTGTCCATCTCCAAAGCCTATAGGCATTCCTTACAACCAACAGCTTCTGAATAGCAATAATATTTATAAAAATCCAAAAAATATTTAAAGTTTTAATAAACTGAAACTTTGGAAATGACTTTATAAATTCATATCTCATTCTGTACTCAGGTGGTAGTGATAAAGTGAGATATTAAGATGAACAAATCTAAAATCAAAGTTACCTCAGGGCAAATGTCTGCATCAATCTATGCAATGCTTTCAAAGCAGGAGTGATGGTGTCTTCTTCTCTGATACATTGTGAAATCCAATTGAGATATTGCACTGGAAAAATCTTCTATATGATATTATCCATGAATTCCGTTTACCAGGCTTTTAGAAATGTATCTTTCATCTCATTTCCTCAAATCTCAGTCTAAAAGACCACATATGTTCTGATAATTAAAAGGAAAGTGGCTAATATTGATTGAGCAGCCGAATATGTACCTATTATGTAACAGACACATTACTATGCGCTTGAAATTTAACATTTAATTCTCACCAAAAAACCTTTCAAGGCAGCTAGTATCATTTCCAATATACAAAATGATTCAAATTCAGAGCAACTGGATCATTTTTCAAGACCACACAGGTACTTAGAAAAAGCACCTGAGTTTGGACCCATCATATTATTGCTTTCTCCAACAGCACCATGTACTTCAAATTTTGTTCATTGAAAGTTACTTCTGCTACTGGCTCTATGGGAGAAGATGAGTATTGAACTGTTTTCCTAATCGTGGTTGAACACAGTTTAAAGAACACACGTGTTAAGGAATGGAACTGGGACACTCGCACAACTACAATATTGCCGAACCATAGTCAACTGCAGCCTATAGAAAGTATAAACACTTTTAGTGGGAAGTTACTGGCAACCACGTCTTTTATGGACGTGCAGCTTTGCAATTATAGCCTGTCTGCTGACAATGGAGCTATTGTGTTTTTATTCTTTAAGCCAAAAACATCTTTTAAAAATCCTCTCGGTTCAGAAAGAAACCCTTTGCTCATTTCTGACACTGACCTCGAAACATTCTAAAAGTCTCCTTCTTTGTTCTAAATTTTATTCTCAGAAAGAGATTCTAAATAGAAGTCCTCCTCTCTGGGGAATTTTTGAAGATAATTTGGCATTCTTTTTTAATAGATCTTTCAAGAAAGCTAATTTTAAGATTCATAATAGAGTACAACATCTCTTGCTCTCAGACATGACTTTGAATCTCAGTGTCTCGAGGTTTCTCCCAGGCTATTTTTGTGACCACCATTTTAGTCTCTGATGAGGCTTTTTAACCCAATTAATCTCTGACAAAAGCCTCAGAAGGCTCAAAACTAAAATTCACCCCCACCAGATAACTCTGAATTTTCCATACCTCACTTTCCCATTTGAAGCAGACGTTTGAAGTGAAAATAAATCTGTCAAATCAAAGAAACAGTCTCTTCCTTAAGAAGAGTGAAATCAAATCTGTCCAGCAGAATTGGCACTTTTGGGGAAGAGATAATACTGCTGAACCAAAGAAACCCAGTTCTTTGATAATAACTGCATAGCTTCCATAAGTGCATTAATTCATTTTCTGAAAAAATAAAACAGTTGTAAAGAAACAGCACTGGACAAAATGACAGACTTATGCTTAAGTACGTATACGGAATTTATATGGTAAGCTTTGAAAAGCTTTTACTTGATTCATTTCTCTATTTTAAAAAATTGATACACTCACTCCTTAGCTCCAGCTGTCAAGTTAATAGTCATCATTTTTCACCCTTCCCATGTTACTCTCTATTTCAGTGTGACTCGCACATCCTTCAAGGTTTAAATGTGATCATCTATAGACAACTGCTTGAATTTGTACAGTCAGCTGAAGCATTTAACCAGGGATTCTTTGTATTACCCCACAGCTAGATGCTAACCAACTGGCCCTCTGGAGAAACAGCTTTATACTGCCTATAAACTGATATGAAAATACAGCCGAGGGGGGTAGAAAAGATATGTAAAATTAGAGTTCCATCACACAGTGCAAAGGTTTAGGGAATGGCCCTTTTCTTATAGATGAGTCATGAATACTTGTGAAAATAGCATTTGGTAGAAAAGTATCCATTTAGTTTAAATTCAGGTTCCTATACAGCATAAAGTCCAGATCCTTCTTTAATTGAATTTTAAAAGCTTTATAGCTCAGACTACCATAGAATGTGTCTCAATAAAAAACATGCACAAGTCAAAAGCAGTTTCTTTACAGGAAAATCACAAGAACAGAATGGTTTAGTCTCATTTTTAAGGTCCTCTGTGGAAAGGACATTGTTCTATCCTAGCAAAGAGCATTTCTGGTATGTCCCTTTTCAAGGCATCTGAAATGGAAGCAGACTGTTCACCATTGCTGTAATTTATCTGAGTGTTTTTGTCTTAATAGAACTTTCTAAAGGACCTGCTAGAAAAAGCAAACAAGACTGTTGATGACACAAAGTTGGCAGAGTATACAGACCTAATGGTAAGAATGATCTTGAAAAGACAATGGCTGAGAGCTCATGAAAGACAAATTTCTTGCTAATTCTCAAGGCTACTGTACACAGGATGAAATAAACCATGTGGGCATATAGCTATCATTTCATTTGAAATTTAGGATACTCAGGAATGCTCACATCTTGCAAGGCTGAGTTCTTCAGCCACTGGTTTTGAGGCTCAATTAATGAACATTTTCTTTCTTGTTAAGCTACATGATTTTTACCTCTCAAAAGATGACCTGTTGTCTTGCACTGTTCATGTAATTATATCAAGTTATATGTCTTATGAATATATTATCTACTACATGCAAATTATGAATTATATTACCTTGAACTCATTTGTGTATTTTTAATACTTTAATTTTATTAGTAGGTTTTAGATATATACTGGTAACATTCATCATATGGAATTTGTACCTGCACACAGTTTATCTTGCTTCTTTTTTGAATTTCTCCTTCTTCTCCCTTCAACTCCCCTTCTTTATTTACAAAAGCTTTGTTTCTATTTTATCCTTCTATTTTTTCTTGTCCTTTCTTTCCTACTCCCACCCCTTTTCCTTTCTCATTTGAACATTTTCTTCCTATTTCCCAATATCTATTATGCATTTTGGTCTGTATTTATACTTTTTGTTTCTCATATCAGCAAAACCATGTGATATTTTTTCATGTGTCCAATTATTTATATAAAAATCTAAATTTTTATCACAGAGTGTCATAAACTTTTTTGGAGTTTAAAGAACTTCTAGCTACTTTAGTCATTAAGCAATTTAAAATGGTTCTCTTTTATATTACTTTGGAGTATTATATTAGTACAATGGGTAGGGAAATCCAAGTGCACCCTGTCCCTGAAACTTTGGCAAATAGCATAACCAAGATCGAGCATAGAATACAGATTGTAGAGTCAGGAAAATGCCTGACACAGGCTCCTAATGTTTCAAGAACAAATAAACAACTAAATTAATGAAGTTCTAGACAAAATAAACCAATGTTTATGATGTTACTTTGTTCTAAATGGGTAAAGTTTACTCATTTTAACTTCAGGAGTGACATAGATTTATACATAATCTAACCAATATGAAAGTAATGTGAATTCCTATTCTGACTTAAAATACCTATAAAATACAGCTGTCTGTTATAAAAGTAGCTATGTTACATTAGTCTGCTGAGGAAGTCAGACTTTTAGTTACCTTGAGAAACAATTTTAACAAGGTTCAATTATATTTAATGTAGCTGACATTTACTTTCAGCCTCTTGCCCTGCTTCGGGAAAACAAAAACACTAATTTATTCACCAAACAGTGATATTTATTGTAAAGTGGGGCTAATCTTACTTTTAAAACAATCAAAAAGATTTTTTCAGATTCTTCTTTAATTCCTCATTATATTTCTATAGCATTAGCAAATAAATATGAGACTTTCTTGCTATTTGTCACAATAGGCAGAACTAAATTCTAAACCTACTTTTTGTTTGGTCGGTTTATTTTTTCTTCTTTTTTAGAATTGGACAGTAACCTATATTCATCAATTTTTGTTTCTGTTTTGATCTTAAGGTTTATCTATTTAGAGTTAGGCCTCTTTTCCTGGTAGAAATTTGAAGCAGCCTTTCAAAAACTACTCAGATGGGAATTTCCCCCTGTTGAATTGCCCTGGCACATCTGATTAAATGCCATAAACCAGTTCAAACCCAGGAAGCAAATTAATCAAGAACTAATTAAAATTTTAATATATAGATGGGGAAATATTTTCATATGGCCATTAAACTATGTCATCTAGTTGTCCAGTGTCTCGGCAGACATTGTCACAATATTTGAATATATGGTCAATGGGTCATAAAAGGCTGTGTCATTATAGGACACCAAAAAAAACCCTGCTTCCTACAAGAATTCTTAGAACGTCTCAAGTGACAGAATGTCCTTTCTTCCTTAAAAAGACCTCACTAAACCTTTATTCATTGTAACTTCAGCATATTACTTTCTTCTAAGAAAAAAAAATGCTACTTTTCACATGTTTAGTATACACATTTCATATATTTTAATGTATTTCATATATACTACTTCTATATCATATAGCAATAAATTGATACTTTTTCAAAGTGTGAATTCTTCACAAATATGAATGCAAACATCTTTACAATTGTTCATGTCTCAGAGTAGGAGACATAACTATGTTGGAGAGCTGAGAGCTTTACTGAGTATCTCATGCCCAAGGAAAGATAAAACAAATCAAAATTACTAAAAATGTTGTTCTCTAAGGACTTATTCATGTTATCTGCCTATTGCTTTTGTTTGTCTATTTAGTGCTCTAAAGAGGTACATATTTATTTTCAGACCATCATCTGGAGAAGTTCAGGAGGCCATATCATGCCTGCATCATCCCTCCCACATATCAATACACATTCAAAATAACTTCCAAGAAAAATAAGTTAAAATGTTCTAGAAGCCTTAGTTAAGGTTACTATTACTCCATTTCACTGCTCCTTATTGGTCCAATAAACTCTGACAATTGATACATTACAAAATTGGAAGTATGCTTTAAAAGTTTTAAACTATGTTAGTTTCTAAACTTTCACTACATATATAAGCACTTGATAAGTTAAGTTGCTTGATTTTGAATGTTTGCCTGCATTCACTAAATCATTCTGCAACAGCTAATACTCTGTTTTTATGTTTGGAAACCAAAATAACCCAAGTTCTGTCTTTTAGTTGAAACTCTTTGACTCAAACAATGATGGGAAGCTGGAACTGACTGAGATGGCCAGGTGAGTTTAGGAACTATGCTAAGATTACAGTAAGCTGGTCCTCATTCAAAAACCAAATCTATTAACATGTTTTTCTCTTAAAAGGTTATTACCAGTGCAAGAGAATTTTCTTCTTAAATTTCAGGTACTTGACTTTTTCCATAGCAAATAATATGTACTTTGAAAAGTTGGAATGTGAGAGATTTGTGTAGAGAAATAAACTGAAATGAAGTAGTAGTAGTTTAATTTTTTCTCTTTTTTTCTAGGGAGTTAAAATGTGTGGGAAAGAATTCAATAAGGCTTTTGAGTTATATGATCAGGTATAAGTATGTTCTTTTTTCTTCTTTTATGTTTATTGTGATAAAAACAGCATAAGATCTACCTTCTGAATTTTTTGGGTGTAAGATACAGTATTCTTTACTAGACAATGATGCATGGCAGATCTTTAAAATTTTTTGACCTTGCATAATTGAAAATTTATTGCCACTGACTAGGAGCTCTCTATTTCCCTTTCATGAACCCTGACAATAATCAATTCACTCTCTGTTTCTATGAGTTTGACTAGTTTACATGCATCATATAAATGGTACCATGTAGTATTAACCCTTCTGTGACTGACATTTCATTGAGCAGAGTGTCCTCAAGGTTCACTTATTTTTCAACTACTTCAAGATTTCTTTCTTTTTTAAGGCTAAATAATATTCTATTACACACACATAAATCTAGATAGATGATAGATAGGTAAGTAGACAGACAGATAATAGATAGATACATAGATAGAATTACTTTATTCATTTATTCATCAGCAAACATTTAGGTGATTTCCACACCATTGCTGTTGTGAATAATACAGCAATGATAATGCAGTGTTACTATATCTCTTTGACATCCTGACCTTTTGGATAAATACCCAGAATTGGAATTGCTGAATCACATGGTAGTTCTATTCCTAATATTGAGATGTCTGCATTCTGTTTTTCATGGTAGATGCACCATTTGAATTCTCACCTAGTATACGAGGGTTCTCATTCTTCATGTTTTCATAATCCTATGCTGGTTTTCTTTTCCTTATATGTCAGTGGCCATCCGAAGAGGTGCAAGGTGCTTCTCATCGTGGTTTCAATTTGCATTTCACAGATGATCAGTGACATAAAACTCTTTCCATATAGCAGTTAGCCATCTTGACAGCTTGTTGAAGAAATTTCTAGCCAAGTCTTTAGCCTATATTTCAAAAAGATTACTAAGGTCTTTTGGCTATTGAGTTGTAGGAGTTCTTCACATAGTTAAGTATTATAATCCTTATATATATGGAAAGCAGCACTTTATCTGATACATAGTTTGCAAATATTCTCTCGGTTGTTTTTCATGTTTTACTCCTTTCTATACTATTGTCAGTGACATTTCTAATCCATTTTAGGTAACTTACTGTTAGTATATAAACATATAACTAATTTTGGATATTGATTTTCATATTTAGTAACTCTACTAAACTTACCTACTCTGAGTCTTTAGATTTTTTATATGTAAAGCTATCACCTGCAGCTGGGGATTTAGCTCAGTGATATAAGTACCTGCCTGAAAAGCACAAGGTCGTGAGTTTGATCCCCACTTAAAAAAAAAAAAAAAAAAAAAAAAAAAACAGGGACAATTTTGTTTCTTCTGTTTCTATTCGAATATCTTAAATGTTTGTTCTCATTTACAATTTGTTCCTTAAAATTTTTAAAAATGCCTACAGAAAATAAAATCTCAAAGTTCCTATTATAATACACATGGCAATGACAAAGGAATTAAGGGTTGTTTTATATATATATAATATATATATATATATACCAATTTCACACAAGGAATATAAACATTATGTCCTGCAAACCTGTACTAATAAAATAAATTTTAAAAAGAAACATGGGCCATTAAAACTATATGACCAATTCATTTTTCTGTGGAAATTTTACCTTGGTATATTCACATCATACACATCTTGCATCATATGCTGTCCCATGATTTACCCTGCCATGAAGTTTGAACAAGGGACCAAAATCTGAGCCTCAATTTCTTCTTTTGTAAACGAGAGATAATACTGTCTTGCAATGTGAAGATAACGTAGGATAAGATATCCTGGAGAAGCATCCCACATAGCAAATCGTGTGTGTAGGAAAATCACTGATGTCACTCAATCATGTTGTGGGCTTCTTCTTCCAATTACTCCTGGATTTGGGCTCTAATACAACTGCTACCTCTTTGTGTGACATGAGCCCCCCTCATAGCTTATCAGGCCTCAGCCTTCTCACTTGGCAGAGCAATACATTTAAGTCTACTTACGGTAACTGGAGATAATATTGTTAATAGAGTGAAACCATAAATGTGCAAGTACTTTGAAAAGCTCAAGGTATCTTACAGATGTAAGGTGTAGAGTGTTGCCTCACCTATTTTGCAACTTTGGAGCAGCTAAAATGTTGAGACTCTGCTATAGCAGGTGAGGACATCTGCCAATTGCACAAGAGATTTTCTGAGCTTTCCACTACAGTACTTCTGTTTCATTTCATTCACTACTACCATAGATGGAGTTGGTCACATACTAATGATTTTTCTTCCTCCAGGATGGCAATGGATACATAGATGAAAATGAACTGGATGCTTTACTGAAAGATCTGTGTGAGAAGAATAAACAGGTAATTTAGTTACTATTATTTCTTATTTACCATGTTTCTGCAACCCCACACCTACTTGGGAAATATGCTTCAAAAATTTATCAAGGAGTAGAAGTAGATTTTGACTCTTAAATTGGCTTGTTTAAGAATTTAATCCAATTCTTTTCTTAATGGATTGATATAAGAAGCAGTTTGTACCCCACATCTTATTAGTTAACAGTGGTTAATTAGCCTCCATATTTAACTGGATTACATTGCCGTCTATGTTCTATGCAGGATCTGGATATTAATAATATTCCAACATACAAGAAGAGCATAATGGCTTTGTCGGATGGAGGGAAGCTGTACCGAACAGATCTGGCCCTTATTCTCTCTGCTGGGGACAACTAGAGTTGAGGCCACCAATACTTGCTAGTGATACATTGTATCTAAAAAATTAACTGTGCACTATAAAGGAGTAGGCTGTATTTTCTTTTATATCTGTAAATTTTACCGCATAATTATAGATAATTATCCAGAATGTGTGGCACATTCTTTTCTGCTTGTTTCTATACTGTTTGTAATGTACAGTTTTTGTAATTATGATTGAAAAGGAGAAGGTCTATATTTAGGCCAGTCAGTATACTCAATTAAAAATAACCTATTTTTGCCTTTATAAATACAGTTGCCCATGAAGATTCCCCTGAAATTTGTCACCAAGATTAATCTCTAAAATTTTAGTCTCTGATGTAAAAATGCACATTTACCACTGAATAAAAACCACACATGACGAGTCAATGATTCTTATTTTAGGCAGTCATAAGACTGTTCCACAAAGTACTTTCATATTTCTGTCAGGAGAAATGTGCTTTCACAGTTAAATACTCACAAAAAATACCAATAAATAGTCAAATTGTGGCTTTATGAAGTAAGCAGTCTCACTAGAGATTTAGTTCATTAATCAACATGTCTGCAGCTTGAATTTATCCAAACTATTGACTCAAATTGATGTGGTGTCAAGAGAAGGCAGCACCAGTTGACACAGATCTGATTCGAAGTCTGTTTCCAACAAGTCTACTGTCAGAGTACGACTTTAATCCATTTTCTATTTTCATGTGTTTCTGATGATAATTATTCTGGTAACTGCTGTTTTATGTTCTATTGTGTGTAAGCTCTGATTAAATTTAATATGCTAAGTATCCTGGTGTCTAGTTTGTGTACTTCCTGGATTTTCTTTCTATGTAGAACTGTTCATTTCACCAAGGGTATCTGCTGCCTCTGAAAATATTTTTTTCTAGCTATAACAACTCTATTTTTTACTATAACTGAATTTTAATGTAAAATTCATAGCATCCTGATTACTGAATGTTATATCATCAATACTTTTGTGTATTCTATGGATTCTATATTTCACATTGAGATTAGTATTCAAAATAGTTCTATTTCTATCTGCAAATAGTTTCAAATGCGTTCAAAATAGCATCTGAAGAAAAATGCTACTGTAATCATTATTTTATCTAGCAAAAGAGATCCTAAAACCTCCTTTGGCCCACCAGATCTAAGTCACAGTTTCACATACGATAGCTAGAATATCCTATACTGGTTATAGCTGACATGCAATGGATGGTGATTTTATATTCTCTATAGAGAAAAGAGTAATGTGAGAAATGTCTATGTGGAATTTATAAAGTTACCATTAAAAAGTTAATGATGGTTCTGGATCAGTGTGAATGTTCCAATTCAATTTATTTTTTCAATTTATAAAAATGAACAAAAAAAAGCTGTGAGCTATCTCCTTCTCTCAACAATGAACAGAAAAAACATCTACCAAAAAATAAAAAGTATCAATTGATGGGAGTGGTAGATTGGCTTTGCCTGCAGTGTATAAACGGAAGCACTTACATTAGATTGAATTTAATTAAAAAGAATAAAGAAAGAAGAAAATACACTTTATGTTTTCTATTTGTTTTTTCTACAAAATGTTGACATATAATCCATAATTAACCCAAGTGTAAATGTAGAATGCTCAAATTATAGTAGCATAAATAACAAATGCATAATGAATTACTAGATGACTCCTTGAGTTAAGGAGTATCTCTGACACTAAGATTAACAATCAAAGAATTTTTTAAAATTTGTAGTAGTTAAAGATTTTTCCAACTGATATATCAAATACTTCATTCAAGTTCTCTGATGGAACATACAGAATTTTCTTACATTTCATCTGTAGAAAATCATTTTTCACTACAAAATACATATAAATTTATATATATATAAATTCATATATATTAATATATAAATTCATATATATTAATATATAAATGCTTGGCTAAAATATATATAAATGTCAGGTTTGGCATTCTTACAATGATGGCATGGAAAAATGAAACAACAAAAGCAGAAAGGTATTAAGGTAATAATCCTAAAGACACTTTTTAGAGAACTGACAACAGCAATACTCATGAATCTAGTACGAAGATTATCATGGTGAACCTTAACAAGTCTATTTCTTAAGGCAGGAAAAAGCATGAAGAATGAAAAAATATCTAAAAAGGTAAATGCTGGACTAGCCAGAACAATGCCTACCTCATACCACAAACAAAGTGTTTGGTTCTAATCTAAATGCAAAAAGTATTGAAGAGAGCCTTCAATACCACAGGCATGAAAACATTTCTTAACCAATTAAGAATAAACAGATTGAATCATTGTGCTCATTAAAAGTAAAAATTTCTGTTGATGAGAAGACACCAACAGTGAAAAGTGGGAAGAAGATATTTGCAGCACTGATAACTGACAAAGTCAGATACCCAGATACCTACGAGTATTTAAGAACACTGCTCTTAAAAATCAATTTAAAATATAACTCAATTGAGAAATGGGTAGGAATCTAAAACAGAAATTTAGGATACCTAAATGTCTAATGAGTTCCAAAAAACCAACCAATTTATCACTAATTGAGAGAAATGCAATTTTTTTTTAAAAAGTGATCCCAATATATCCTTATCAGAAAGGTAAAAAATAAGAACTAAGTGTTGTGAGGATGTGCTGCAGCAGGAATTCTTACACATTGCTTAATGGGATTTTAAATTATACACACTTTGCAAAGCCACTTGGCATTATTCACTAAATTGAAACATATGCACACCCTATAACTCAGGATTTTCATTTCAAATCTTACCAGCCTAATAGAGAAAGGTATATATATATATATATATATATATATATATATATAATATGCTTGATTAAAATATATATGTTTCAGGTTTGAATATATATATATATAGTCACTAAAGAACAATCATGTTCATGGTAATACTGAGTTTGACACAGGCTCAAATTAGTAACTGAAATTTCCATTAAACACAGATAATGGTATATTCTAAATATGGTATATTCATATACACCTTATTCTCAAAAGAATATTATAGAACAAAAAGAACACACAGCAATTGCTACACATAAAGCCATAAACTAAAGAATATATTTTGGGGGACACTACCCACTTTTCCAAAAGCAGCATAACTATTAGGTTAGAGGTCAAGACAGGGGTTAGTCTGAAGATTAGAGGAGGAAGATTAGAGGAGGAAGAGAGTTTTTTTGGTGGGGAGAGCGAGGCTTCTGGATTCCTATGGATGTTTTCTTTCTTGACCTGGGCAGAGGTTACAGAGGTTCAGGTAGGGATACTGTATATTCATTTTGTGATACTTCATGATTTGTGCAATTTTAAATCAGAAAGTTCAAAAATCATCTTTTTATTTTAAGGCTTTTCCCTTATGATTGCATTTTATAATACTCTGTTGCTATTGTCTTGCTTTAAGTTATAAACTACAGAGACATCTTTCTGTAAACACAAGCTTAACTAATTGTGTGACCTAGGGCAAGTGACATGACTTCACTGAGCCATGGGCAATCTCCTCAGCTGTAAAATGAAAGAATGAGTGTCTACTAAAGTTTTCCCCATTCTAAAATTCTATTATCCAAAATCATTTCATTCTTTTTAATTTTATGTTTATTAATACATGTTTGCAGTACATAATGATTACATTCATTGCAGGGGTTTGGTACATGTCAATAACACATCTTAATTCCCTTCACATCCCCTTCTGCTGCCCTACGCTTCCCTTCCTCCATCTCTTTTTACTTTTCACATTATTGGCACATTTTAGATGTACATAGTGATAACATTCATCATACAGAATTCGTACCTGTACATGATATATGGCTTCTTCTTTTCCCCTTCCTCTCCTTTCCTTTTAGCCCTTCTTGCCCACTTTATTTACAAAAGCTGTACTTTCATTTGTTCCTCATATTCTTTTCTTTTTCTTGTTCCCTCTTTCTTTTTTCCCCCTCCCCCCTTCTCATTTGAACATTTTTTCCAGGTTCCCAATATCTATTGTATATTTTGATCCTGATTTACACTTCCAGTTCCTCACACCAGAGGTAGCATGCAATATTTAAACATGAATATCCCCAACTTGTCTCACTTAAGAGGATGGTCTGAACGTGCATCCAGTTAGCTAGAAATGTCTCAAGTTTGTGGAAGGATACTACCCCATTGTGTTAAAAAAAGAACCCACATCTTTATTCATTCATCGGTTGATGGATATTTGGGTTGTTTCTAAGATTTAGCTATTACAACTGTGCCACTATAACCACGCATTAAATATATCGCTATGGTATGATGCATTTAATTCCTTTAAAAAGATACCAAGAACGAGAGTAACTGGGTAGAATGGAACTTCTAGCTTCAGATTTTTAGGAATTCTCCACACTGATTTCCACAGTGGTTGCAACCAACAGTAGAGAAGGGTTCCTTTTCTCCACAACCTCGTCAGCATTTGTTATTGGTTGATTTCTTGATAATAGCCATTCTTTCTGGAGTGAAATGGAATCTCATACTGTCTTAATTTGCATCTCTTGAATGACAAGTAATGTTGAACATTTTTTCATATACTTACTTGCCATTTCTACCTCATCTGAGAATTGTCTATTTCAGATGCCCATTTTTTAATTGGGTCTTTAAATTTGGGGATTCAGTTTCTTGCAAGTTCTTTATTCTTGATAGTAGCCTTTTGTCTGAAGAACAGCTATCAAAATTTTTTTCCACATCATAGATTGTCTCTTAACTCTATTGGTATTTTTCTTGCTGTGCAAAAGCTTTTTAATAAGACAAGATCCCAGTTGTTAATTCTTTGTGATAGTTCCTGTGCAATTGGGTTTTTGTTCATAATGTCTTTGCCTACACTGATGTCTTCAAGAGTTCTGTCTGCACCATCTTCCAGTATATTTACTGTTTTTATTTTAATATTTAAACCTTTGATCCATTTTTATTTTAGTTTTGTGCATGGTGATAGACATGGGTGTAGTTTTAATCTTTGGTATGTGGAATGCCAGTTTTTCCAGTAACAATTATTAAAGAGGGTTTCTTTCTTCCAGTAAAGAAAAGTGTTTGACTCTTTTTTTAAATATAAGGTGACTGAGTATGTCTGAAGTTGTTTCTGCATCTCCTAATCTGTTAAATTGATACTCAAGTCTATTTGTTTTGGACTGTTTTTTGTTTGTTTGTTTTTGCCAATATCATGCTGTTGTTATCACATCTTTGCAGTATAATTTCAGGTAGGGATACTGATGCCTTCTGCCTTGCCTTTGTTACCCAGAATTGTTCTTGCTATTCTAGTTCTCTTCCATTTCCAAATGAATTTTAGGATTGTTTTAACTAATTCTGTGTGCCATGCTATTGAAATTTTGACTAGGACTGCACTAAATCTATATAACAATTTCAGAAATATGACCATTTTAATTCTCTTGGTTTTTCCTATCCAAGAACAAGGGATATTTCTCTATATTCTGATATCCTCTTTGATCTCTTTTTTCAGAGTACTGTAATTTTCAATACAGAGGTTTTCTACTTTCTTCATTAGATTGGTTCCTGGGTATTTCATTTTTTGGATGCCATTTTGAAAGTTGTTATTTCCCTAATTTCTTTCTCAGTCAGTTTGTTATTTGTGTCAAGAAGATTACTCATTTTTGAATGTTGACTTTGCATCCAGCTATGCTGCTGAATTTGGTTATCAAATCTAGAAGTCTTCTAGTCAAGTTTTTAGGGTCTTCTATGTAGAGTATCACATCATCTGCAAATAATGATAATTTTACTTCTTACTTTCCTATCCATGTTTCTTTAGTTTCTTTCTCTTGTCTAGTTGTTCTGGCTAATGTTTCTAGAACTGTTGAATAAGGGTAGTGACGGTGAAGATCCTTGTCTTGTACCTGATTTTAGAGTGGACGCTTTCAGTTTTTGCCCATTTACTATCATGTTGCCTGTTGGTTTGTCATAGATGGATTCTATCAGATTGAGATAAAGACTATGTATTCCAATATCTGTAGGGCTTTTTATCCTGACTTGTTGTTGGATTTTTGTCAAATGCCTTTTCTACATATATTAAGATGATTATATGCTTTTTGTCCTTGGCTCTGTTAATATGCTGTGTTACATTTATTGATTTTTATATATTGAACCATCCTTGCATTCCTGAGATGAATCCTACCTGGTCATGGTGTATAATCTTCTTGATTATTTCCTGCATTCTGTTGGCCAGTATCTTATTGAGAATTTTGTTTATGAGGGAGATTAGTCTGTAATTCTCTTTTTTTGGTTGTATCCTTATCTAGTTTTGATATTAGGGTAATGATTATTGATTTGGGGAATGAATTTGGGAGTACA